CGGACTTCATTAGTCTTACTGCATTGAGAACATTTTTTTTATTTCCATACGATTTTAAATATATTTCCAGATAGCACTGACAAGCCTCTGGATAATTTTCTGGATATGATTTATTTTTTATTTCCCTGCGCGATTTTAAAATCGATCACAGACAGCAGGCACATAGATAATTTTCTAATTGTGGGAAATTGTGCCGCGCGCGTGATGCGGGGATACGATAGGACGTTACTTCGCGTAGGCGCATTTCAATCGTTGCGGGCCGATTTTGCGACACACATACGTCACGGACGCTACCTGCGAGATAAGCACGCCGGAAGTGCGTCAGAACCCGTTATACTTCTCGCGTAAGGTCCCACGGCGTGCGACAAACCGGAAAATTTTCCCAGATGCTTGTTCGAGACGCGAGATAGGACTCGAATCACATCGGACGAAAAGGACAATACAGAAAGCTCTTTTGAAACATAATCGCATTGATAAAAACGCCCTCGTGCCAATAATTGAGAGACCCAAGTTCGAGCCACTGCACGATATTTTTCACGATATTAATTCCTTACAGATTCATGAAACAATTGAGCAATGTTTATCAGTGATGATTAAATTAATTCTCAATTTAATAATGCGATATTGTATTTTCCACTTCGACATACAGAGTGAAATTCTTCGACATCAAGACTGAAAATAATCAGCGCGTGATTTCAAAGTAAGAACGAAATATATAAAATTCACAAAAGATCTCTCGTCCGAAAGTGCATTTATTCTATGCTACGCATATCTACACGGAGAGAATTTTCTCTTAAAATCTATCTTGAAAATCATGCAATCGTGGGACAACGCGGCATTTCGATGAATTTTATGACAGGTTTCGAAATTTTGCCATACATTTTACTAGTCAAATTCTTCGAAATGCCGTATTGTCCCACGATTACATGATTCGCAGGATAAATTTTAAGAGAAAATTCTCTCCGTGTGGTGTATACATAATAACGTTTGACTTCTAGTATCGCTGATAATTTTTTTCTACGCAAAACCGACTGTAATTTTTAAAATAAAAGATAAACGAATTAATAAAATTCGTACGGCTCAATTGTGACAAACACAAATCTGAAGGAATAAAGGACTAAGAGCAGTGACAGGGTGTTAGTGTCTAAATGTTTCATATTCGAAATTTATTGCGAAAAATATTACCTCAGCCAGGGTTTGAACCTGGACCTCCCTCTCGCTGGGCGGGGCGTCTCAACCAATTCGACCACCGAGGCATATAATAATAAAAAATAACTATTGTGGGGTAAGTCGAGACTACAGAGAGAGGGCAAGTGACGAAGAAATGATTTCCATCATGAATCGAAAATATCGCAAAGACACGAAGATTCAGAATATTTTCTCGGTTATATAAAATTCTAAAACATGTGTTGAAATAAAGAGTGACTATATTAAAAAGTGAATACACTTCTTTCACTTGACCACCTTTTTATATCTTTGGGCCGGAAACTTTTGGGTCTTATCGTGTACCTTCAGTTCTGCCAGGTATTGTAAAGATACACATTCCGGAAATCCTCTGAGGAAAAACTATGCAGTCCTGGTCCACGGGATTTCCGGAGCGTCTGTGCGCGAGGGTACGTTCAGGCAATCCCGAAGGCCAGGACTGCGCAGTGTTTCCTCGGAGGATTTCCGGAATGTGCATGGGTACCTTAACATTGCACGTGATCGCGCGCGACAAATTTATCGTGAGAAAAAACGACGGAGGGTCGCTTTCTGTAGATCGGGCTGTATCGATCTTTCCGATATCAATGCGACAATTTTATGCCACACAGTGTCCTGGATTTACACCCGTGGACTCTATCGTGATTACATTCATTATTTACGATCGCGGTGCGTACACACGCGTTACTATGCTGCATTTTCCGCGGAGCACGTGTTTACCTCGTATGCGACAAATATGCGGCCGTCCACGTGCATCAGCGTGACGGATGTGACGGCCGAGGGCAACGTGGGGCACAGTAAGACCGTCAGTTTGGGGAACTTGCAGGTTTTGCACACTGATCTTCGTATATTTCTCTTACTGTTCACTCATTGCTGCTCGTACACGTCCCATAATTTTTTAAGAGAATTGAAAACTGCGATAATTATGTTAAGAAGTCTACAACTCGCCGATAACCTTGACTTTTAAACACGTAAGATAGAATCGTGAGTTGCCTACATAAAAGATACGTTTTAATGTACACGATAGAGCGTTCGTCTTGAACGGCCAATTAATTATTCGAAGATCAAAGGATTTTTACTAAAGACTTAATTTTTTGTACGCCTTAGACTTTTTTTTACAAAACAAATTAACTTCGCAAAGCATAAATTTATTCTTATAAGAACATA